TGACCGCAGGTGGTGGCTTCATGAGTGTCGGGCGTGGAAGGAGCTAGCAAGCCTTCCCCGGGGGACTGGCCTGGTGAAGGCATGCCGGGTCATGATGGCCTTCGTGAGGAAGGTGCCCGGGCTTACAGTGTCGACATCTCCTTTGACGGTGCTCTTGCCTTGTCTTGCCTTGTCATGCCAGACCACGTGGAGCTTCATTCACGGCCTCGGTGAGCATTCGGTAAACTTCGGTGAATTGATCGGGTCGTCATTCACCTGCAGACACACCGAGGCGCATGATGTAGTCGGTGAGACCTGGGCAGCTCTCACTCTGCCAAAGCTTGCCACATTCAGCCGTGCAACACCATCACCCCCACAGCTCCCAACCCGGTTCTCTCCCTCCCACCTGCGCTCTTCACGTTCGGCATTCTGCCATGCTAGACGGAAAAGAAACAAAGCATCACTCACCCATCTGCTGGTACTCCGCCAAGCTCTGCTTAGGCTGGGAGAGCTTGTAGCCCTGCGTCTCCTCGGGCATGACATCGTCATCGTGGGCGGCATGAGAAGCCATCTTGAAGTGTTGTGGTGGTTCGACAGGATGTTGCTGTGCGGTGTACCGTCTGAATCGCGGCCTTTATGGAGTGTGGGGTGCCGAGCTTTCTACCTACCAACGGTGTGTGGTGCGCGGTACGGGATGTGAGTTGGTGTGTGCGGTGCGAGGTAAGGTGAGGAGGAAGTGCACAAGCGTCGCTGAGGATAGGAGACGCTGGAAAACAGCGAGGGGAAAGGGGGCGGGGTTGGAGCGAGAGAAAGGAGAGGAGAAAGTCTGTCGATGGCCCCCAGGCGATGGTTGATTGACGTTGGATTTGCGGTCACAGTCACAAAAGAGAGCCGCTCCCCGGCGGCCGCAGTGCCTCATGCTGCCCTGTCCGCCGACCCAGCCGGGGCCGCGGTGCGTGCCACCTCCCATTGCCCCTCCAAAGCCCCTCTCCCCTCTTCTCACTGCTAGGAAAGCTGGCTTCTTGAGGTGGAATGCTCTGGATGCTGTCTCGCCACGGCTTTGGCACGATCTGTCACACGCACGGTGGGGGTCCAAGGAGAAGCCATTCTGATGTGAGGCGAACCATTCGTTGGCGAGGGACGGATCTGCACCAACAAAACTCTTGCTCTTCCAGTAGGCGAACAGGCTCGAGGCCTTGGAGGAGGACTACGAGAAATGCAGGCACATCCAGGCACACGGCGGCAATTCCCTGGTACGATAACATCGGGGCAACATGAGCAGCAACAAACAACACAGCAGCCTCTGGAGAAGACGGGGATTTTGCGGCAGACGGACGAATAGGGGGCCATGATGGGAGCACCTTGCAGATACGCCCCTCCTCTGCCCCTCCTTTTGAGGAGCCCCTTTTGATTGACAACGAGGCGGTCTGGACACGAGGAAGAGGGGCACCCGTCTGGGCCATTTCAAGCGCCTCCAAATCCTATGTGGTTTGGAGGGTCTGCTGGGTAGAGGGAAAATCGGTCCTGGGAATGACTTGACTTGGTCGCACTGCGTCTTTTCTTTACCCCTTCAGCAGCGGAAGGGGATGGAGAGGAGACGAGGTACAGGTATGCGGAGATGCCTGGGAAACCCGTTGTCTCGGCCTGCCTTGATGGCAGAAGTCGGTTGTGGTCACCACCGCGCGCCAACACCTAACTCACACATAGACCACGTCACCAACCCATCTGGCGCAGCGTGAACCGGTGACAATTGTTTCGAGGGTCTTGGGCCGTGGGCAAAGGAGGTACGGATCGGGTGTCTACGGGGATTTTTTTTGGCCTGCTTCATTTCGAAGTAGCATCTCCGCAACCCAGGCAGCGCATGTTGTGATTGAGTTGGAGACAGGGCGCCGTGGCTGTGCGGTTGGTCCGCCTGCTGTCAGTTTATGCTCCCCAGAAACCACTTGCGCAAGCGACAGGAGGAAAGAAGAAAGCAACGCCGGCGAGGACTGTAGCGAGCCACGAGCCACGGTCCGTCCAGATGGTTCATGGTAGCAACTCCAGATAGGTGCAGGATGATGGGTAGAGGGCATCCATGTCGCCACGCCTGTGCTCCCCCACTCTTACGCTGATGGAGCGACGGCAAGCTTGGGTCGGGGGCAGGCGTTCGTGCGGGCTGAGGTCATGCTAAGGATGATAGCTCGAGCTGGTGGTCCATCGATAGGGAGCGAGCACATTCGAGGGCGGCCTTCATGGAGCTGAAAGGATCGAGAAGGAGGCCTATGTCGCAATTTGCCCTGGAGTCTCCCATTGGGACTCGGGACTGGGACCAGGGACACAGGCGAGGTGGCTCAGGTAATCAAATCCTCAACAGGAGGAGAGTGGAGGGACGGTGCGCCCAAAGAGAGGACAGCACCTGACCAGAGAAGGGGACCACCCCAATTTGTTTCGGACAAGAACGGAATAGCGCCTGCCAAGGACTGAATCGGGCAGCTGCGCTCCTATTTCCTGCGAGGTACAACTGTCCTCCCGCAATAATAGCTTGCAGATGATGTACCCCTGAGCAGAGGCCCAAGCTCAACCCTCAGTTCTTCCTTCCATCAAACACCCCCCAGACCTCCCGCCCGCCCCTGCCGCCCGTGCCCTGCCTGAGGTGCGCCTGCCGCCCATTCGCCCTTCCCCCCGACAACTCGAGGGGACCCTCAATTCCTCGACAGTGGACGCCAAAAGTGGTGAAGCTTCGCCCAAATTGCGCCGCCCATCCTTTTCGTGTCCTGTCGTCTCCTCCCTCCACCACCACCCACCACCTCCATCTTTTCTCTCCTTCTCCGGTGTCACCATCTTCCCCCATAGTCAACCGGTTTAATTCCACTCATCGACCGTCCCGGACGATCATCAACCGCGATAGCCTTTCTTTCGCCGCACTCCTTTTCGACTCGCCTCTCGGCGCGCGCGGTTCGGTAGCGTAGGCGACCACCTGGCCCCAGCTTTTCGCGCTTCCAATACCACGGACGTGTCCCATTGACCTCTGAGCTGACACCACGCGCCCATCGCAGTCAACCCTCGGCATTCGGTCGCTAGTTGGTCTACGCAGCGGTCGCGCGTTCCTCCTTCGCGTCAATACTTTGTCGCGTTCGACGGGATCACCTTCCGAACCCTCGAGCTTGCCGTCATCTTTTTCATCATCTCATTTTCGCCGCGTCGTCGCGATCAACAGACGCAATGCCTGCCGCCGCCACTGCCCCCGAAACCATCACGCCCTCGACCGAGCGGCACCTGCCTACGAAGCAGAACCCCTTGATGATCGATGACATCCCGCCTTGTACGATCGCGCCGTTCGCGTTCCTCCGAGCCATCATTTCGCGTGTCGACTAACAGTTGCTCTAGACCAGGATCTCGTGTCGCGTCGCCGCCTTGGCCAGACCCAGTTGACGGCCAAGATGGTGAACCAGGTGGACGGTGATTCGACATCCCTTGGAGTCTTCGACTACGCCCACCTCCGCGCCCCCGTGCCGAAGGGCATTGTTTCGGGCATCTTCAAGTCGAGCCCCAACAGTTACTTCCTGATGCGCCGGAGCCACGACGGCTACGTTTCCGCCACGGGCATGTTCAAGGCCACGTACCCGTACGCCGAGGCTCACGAGGAGGAGACGGAGCGCCGCTACATCAAGTCTCTCCCGTCTACCAGCCCCGAGGAGACGGCGGGCAACGTCTGGATCCCTCCCGACCATGCCCTCTCCCTCGCTGAGGAGTACGGCGTGCTGCCCTGGATCCAGGCCCTGCTGGATCCCGCAACTATTGCCATGACCCAACAGCCCGACAGTCCTCCCAAGAAGATTGCCGCTCCTCCCAAGTTTGAGGTCAAGAAGGCCCCGCAGCCCCAGCTGGCTCCTCCCACGCCGCCGCGCAGCATGCGTCTCCGCCGCTCCGCCAGTCCCACAAAGTCTGCAGCTCCTGCTCCTCGCCCGGGGAAGACACCTCGCAAGCGCAAGGTCAAGTCCGAGTCGGTTGACCTGACGGCGGCGCCGTTGCCATCAAGGCCGAGATTAAACGGCGTCATTGAGGAGGACTAGGTTGCCGAGTCTTGCGGCGGAAACGACGACGAGAACAATCGAGTTTGAGCCCGCCGTCGTCTTGCAAGCACAGGATGAGGGACAAAAGGTCAAGGTGGTCGTCGAGCAGGATGTCAAGATCGACGAGGAAGGTCACGAGGCCAAGCACCCCACAGTGGCGCTTGAGCTGCCGCTCTCCAGCACCGAGCCCCCGACAGCCGAAGAGACGGCGCGCATGATCGCCGAGGCCAAGTCGATGGTCGAAGCTGCGACTGCCACAAAGACGACCGACGCGGCCGACGCCGACGGCGATGTCGACGTCGAGAGCGAAGAGAAGGAGCCGGTTGAGCTGGTCAAGTCCAAGCGCAAGGCAGAGGACATCACAGCAGCGGAGGAGGAGGAGGAGGGCCCAGAGTCGAGCGAGCGCAGCAGCAAGCGGACCAAGCCGAACGTGCAACTCAAGAAGGAACGCGTGCGGAACCGAGCGCTGCTCGGAATCAGTGCCACTCTGGCCGTCGGGTGAGTCTTGTCACATTTCGCGCCAACAAAACAAACGGGTTTACTGACTGAATGGCTGTAGTGCAATTGTTCCCTTCCTTATGGGGGTGTTCTAAACAAGCCCAGGGGCTGCTGGAGCTGGGTACGGACGGGTCGACACGAGTGGTTTTTGGTTTCTGGGACGGTTCTCTGGAGGCGTGGGTCGGGTGGACGCGTCTTTTTTCATTTCCCCCCCTTTCGCTCATACCCCCTACTTAAAGGTCTTTGCTGTTGGCAGCTCGGCCGAACTTCTTATTTGTCATTGTTCAATTGGTGTATTCACGACGTGGAAAAGGGGCTGCCCTACTGTACAGAAGCCAACCTCGGCGTCCGGGGAAGAGGGCAAGGAAGGCGAGAGGAGGACATGTGCATGGGGCTGGCAGGCTGGAAAGGCAGCGGCTTCATGACTGCCCTCTAGTAATACATGGCCAGTGATGCGGACCCGATGCGCGAGATGGTATTGGATATGTTTTGCAACCTCGACTTCGAAATCGTTGTGATCCATCCTCACTCTCCTCCGCTGCTCCGGTTCTCTCGCAGCCAGCGGCTTCATCTCTCGCAGCCAGCGCCTCATCTCTCGCAGCCAGCGGCTACAGACTACCCCAGACAGGACAAGTGTGTGATGCTTCTCCACGTCCGCCCGGCCCCTGAGCGCCAGGGGTTGTGGACATGGGGCGGCCTTCCCCAGCTTCCCCAACCGCGCCCCCAGCCCGGCTCAAGCGGGAACAGGGACGGCTGGATGGCTAAGACCGGCAATGGCCGGCTTTCGGGTAACAACACCCCGCGTCACACCAGTCGGCCAGCTGTGACGGGTTTCTTGTCGCGGTTCGAGCTCAGATCGAAACCTGGACACTCTCCAATCTATCTGCCTGCTTTCTTGCAATCTCTGCTACCGACGAAACTATTGCGCATTCACGGCCGTGAACCAACAGACAGCATGCGCCCCAGCACCACAAGGATACGCACAGCGCTGCGCACAGCTCGACACCGCGGGTTTGCGACATCCGCCTGCCGCCTGGACAAGTATGGCTTCATCGGCCTCGGCCAAATGGTGCGTTTGCCTCGAGGTACCCATGGCCAAAAAGGGATGGCTGACCATACCAGGGCTACCAAATGGCGAGGAACCTCCAGGCCAAGCTTCCGCCGAGCGACTCAATCAGCATCTTCGACATTAACAAGACTGCCATGAGCGGTCTCAAAGCCGAGATGGAGAAGGGCCAGACTGGCGGCGCTAAGATCACTCTGGCCGATAGCGCAGCCGATGCCTCGACGGACGCCGTAAGTCGTTTGATGCGCTCAAGGTGAAATGCCAGTCACCAGCTAACCCTGGCCCAGACCACCGTCATCACCGTCCTCCCGGAGCCTTCTCACGTCAAGTCGGTCTACGCCTCTATCCTCTCAGAAATTGCCCCCTCAGCGTCCCGCCTCTTCATCGACTGCTCCACCATCGATCCTTCGACCTCCAAAGCCGTGGCCACCTCCATCACCTCGTCCTCGCACGGCTCCTTCCTCGACGCCCCCATGTCCGGCGGCGTCGTCGGCGCAACGGCCGCGACCCTGACCTTCATGCTCGGCGCCCCCGCGAGCCCTGCTCCCCCGCGCCGAACCCATCCTCCTGCGCATGGGCCGCCGTGTCCTGCACTGCGGGACCCCAGGTGCGGGCCTCTCCGCCAAGCTGGCGAACAACTACCTCCTGGCGCTCAACAACATTGCCACGGCCGAGGCCATGAACCTCGGCGTCAAGTGGGGCCTCGACCCCGCCGTCCTCGCCGGCGTCATCAACGTCAGCACGGGCAAGTGCTGGCCCTCCGAGGTCAACAACCCCGTCGCCGGCGTTGTGGACGGCAGCCCTGCTGGGCGCGATTACAGCGGCGGCTTCGGCATCGGGCTCATGAAGAAGGATCTTGGGCTGGCCATCGTGGCGGCTGAAGAGGCCGGGGCTAGGCTTGAGCTGGCGGCCAAGGCGAGGGAGGTCTATGAGAGTGCGGAGAAGCAGGAGGACTGCAAGGGGCGGGATTTCTCCGTCGTTTACAGGTGGCTGGGTGGGGAGAGCAAGTAGACATGAACAATGAAGAGCCAGGATGATTGCATTTGGCCGCCCAATCTGCCTGCGGTGAATCTGGGCCCGGCTGGACTCACGAAATGGCAGCTTCGTATTGCCCTTGATACGGCTTTTCGCATTTGGCTGGTACAAGTCTCGGTTAGGGTCATGTTGAAGATGGAAACATGCATGGAGGCTCTCTGTTCGTTGTACGGGATCAACGTTCTGTTGGCAGTGGGAGACTTGCAGATTGGGTACAGGGTTGAATAACGTTGAGGTACTCATTGTGAAGCTTTCCAACTCAACTCGCCAGCCGAGAAATGTATGAAGCGCAGCTAGGAGACGAATAACTGATCAGCGTGTTACCCGTACTCTCGCCGATTCTTTGTCAATTTGTCGTGCAGCGACGGGATAAGAGCATGCTCAGGATGGGTAATCCTTCGGTGCAAGCATGCAGCCACGATCCAGAGTATTCACCACCCCTCGTCAAGCTCGATGAGAGCCCCATATCCTCCCTTCGCAACGATCTCTGTATCGACCAGAAATACAGCCATTAACCTACCCGGCTTTTCCTTGCTGTAGTTGTCACTGACAGTATGGTGGCATCCGGGGTGCTCCACAAAGCTCTCTCCAACCTCGTAGACCTTCGGCGGGTTTCCGTTCATGCCGCTCAGGATCTGGCCCTCCAGAACAGTCGCCACAACTGTAGCACCAGCGTGTCTATGGGGGGGCGTCCAGCCGCCGGGAGGGAAGGCGACCTCGAGGGCGATGATCGATTTCCCCGGAGCGTTCTTCAACTCGTGATCGTAGAGGACAGTACCTTTCTCGCGGGGGCGTGCGCTGGCGGGACACTACGTAAGCCTCAACAACAAACACTTTTCTGCGGCCGAAGTCTCAGCTCACCGAAGTTCCTCGTTGCTTGGGTCCATTGTGCGAGGTGGGTGTCTGGCGATTGAGTAGCGTTGTGGGGACTTATGAGGAAATGTTGCCCGGGTGAAGAAATGAGGATGAAGGCTCCGTTGTTTTGCGGCTTGTTCGTCGGGAGTTAAATATATCGATCCATGAGATCACTCATCATCTTTATGTTTTCGTTTTTCTTCCTATTACATCTCCTCCGAGATGCCTGAATGCCGAAAGCCCGGGACCCCTGAATACCCGGACCGGGTACTCATCGGGTACTCGTTACGTCACCCGTTGCCGTTTCCCGATGCCTCAAACACCGGGTTGCCGCCGGCTGGAAGCCCGACTTTTCTCCCCTGTATGGATGGCATTGCAACAAAATAGCTGTAGAGAGCACCTTTTGATTGAGCATGCGAAAGTAGGCACAAGCAACACAACCTGACGCAGCATACGGTTATCCCCGCGAACCCGCGACGACACGCCACGATGAAGGCAGTTCAACTTCTCGGAGAGATGAGCTCTCCCAGGATTATTACCAACAGTACCATGGACAAGCCAACTCCCACCGGCCGTGGCATTCTCGTCAAAGTCTCTGCAGCTGGAGTGACCGGCGACGCCGTCATGTGGCCCGAGACGTATGCGACACCATCCCGCATCCCAGGTCACGAAGTCTCAGGCTGTATTGCTGCCTTTGGTCCGGACTACGCCGGCGACCTTGTCATTGGCCAACTTGTCTACGCTTTCATCTCGGCAGATAGGGGCCACGGTCAGGCAGACTTTGTCATTTGCTCCCCCGATGAAGTCGCCCCCAAGCCGACGACAATCAGCCACGCCGAGGCGGCTGCGCTGCCCATTCCCCTGCTGACGGCGTGGGAAGCCCTGAAAGACTACGGGAATATATCTGCAGGAATGAGCGTCTTCATCACCGGGGCTTCGGGTGCTGTTGGGTCACTCTCTGTGCAGATGGCCGCTCAAGTTGAAGATTCCCGAGTCATCGCGCTGGCGTCCTCGCAGCACCACGAATGGCTCAAGACGCTCGGCGCCACCGAGACGATTGACTACAAGACGGAAGGCTGGGAAACAACTGTGCAGGCAGTCGATGTCGTCTTCGACACGGTCGGGGGCGACATACTGACCAAAGCATGGAACACCATCAAGGACGACGGTATCCTCATCACCGTCGGCGATCCAGCACCAGCATGGGCGTTTGGGAAGGCAGAACCAAGAGAGGCGAGCCAGCATCCCAATGCGCGGTATACGTACTTCATTGTGTCCCCTAGTGCGAAGCGCTTGACCGAGGCCGCTACCTTGATTGACGAGGGCGGCATCCAGTCGTTGGCAGTGGAAAGGTTCTCATTTGACGATGCGTCGAAGGCATGGGCATTCGCTAGGAAAAGAGGTCGAGGCAAGAAGGCTGTGATTGATTTTGAAAGAGAAATGCCGTAGAAACGGAGCGTCTATACCTAAAGAAATAGCTCTGCTTCACCTTTCTAGCTATCACGATGAAGACGCCACGTCAATTTCTTGCGGCCACCAAGTGAAATCGGCCTGCAGTTCGTCAATGCTGAACCACTCCGAGACAGTGTCCTCGGATGTAGAACTGGCTGGCTGGCCATTGTTGAGACTCTGTGCGATCGAGATGCACGTCTCTAGTTCGTCCTCATCGGTCCCTAAAGCCGACACTGGGCCTCCATCTGACGTGCGTCTACTTGAAGAAGGGTCATTGTACGCATCAGAGGCCGCGTTTGGCCTCCTCTCCAGACCTAGGACGTGCCTCGCGATCGTCTGAATCTCCCCCACGTTCGCTGCCGTGCGTGGCCAGACCTCACCAAGGGTCTTCAGACACCCAACAGTCATACGAATCTGATCCCTCGCAACAGCGAGCTCCTTCCCTTTGAGCAAATACTTACACGCAGAGAGCAATGCCAGCGTGCCCTCGCTGACCATGCACGTCGTAAACGGCGTGTGGTGGAAAGGCCGAGCCGGCAGCGCGAGGAGCCGAATCTGTGCCTCGACAGCGCGGATCACACGGATCGTGTGCACATTGATCAGATCGGCACTTGCTCTGCCGCGGGCTGGCTCTCGCGCGCAGCTCGAGATGTCCTCCACGGTGTTGAATCTGAGGTCAGAGAGGGGTCTGTGCAGGCCAACGGTGGTGACGTGGATAATAAGGTGCGCTTGAAACATCAGCTCGTCGATAGTGCCTGATGCATCGATGGTGTGTTTTTGGTCCTCTGGAAGGAGCAGCAGCCAACCGTCTATGGCCGAGTCGGCTTCATCGAGAATATGCAGAGACGATACCTCCTCAGGCTTGACAACCGATGTCCGAGACAGGGCGAGCGACGCGCACCGGACAGCCCCAATGAGGTAGGCAAAGGAGGAAAAGGGAGGTGTTTCCGGCAAGAACTCGCGAGAAGCGAATTCGTCAACGGTCCTTGGAAGAGGAATGTTCTGCAAAAGGTCAGGAAACCTTTCTTGTGCCACGCGTCCCCGCCAGCATCACTCACGCCAGACTCATACTCCGACTCGTGGCAGGGAAGATCGACCGTGGCCTCCGCGTCCTGGAGCGAAAAGTCAACGCGACCCAGGGTCCCTGCATAGTACGCATCAAGCACGTACAGCATCCACCAGGTCCGCCGCCAGCTTTCCTCCAAGACCGGATCGCCCTGTCCGTGTGTTCTTGCAAACGCGCGTTGGTTGAGCCCCATGTCGAGGGCGCATTGCAACGCCTCGCTCATTTGCTGCCTTGCGCCTGAAACGGAACCGTACCAAAATCTGGCGACCGAGAGCAGTAGGCGGGCTTGGACTGCCACTGGCCTCTCACATGCGCTGCTCGACAGACAGCTCAGGACGTCCGCTTCGATAGATGACGGCCATTCGCGTACATCGTAGATGTGACCAACGAGACGCAAAGCGGCCACAAGGGGCTTCCAAGTGGACATGCTCGATGCGTCGCTGCACAGCTGGACGAGGCACTTCTGCGGCGGGACGAACGGATGAAGCCGGTGGAAGTTGGCATAGTACAGGCTCACAAGCCTGTCCTGAGCGACATCGTAGTCGATATCCAGCGGTGCCACTGCCGCTATGGTGACGGTAGATGCCGATCTGCCACTGTCTTGCGCCAAGTTGTCGTGGCACAGCGTTGTTGGTATGCTGCTCTGGATATCGTCGCTGTAGACCGGCGAGAGGAGCGGACCGTGGGCTGCCTCCTGAGCGGCGGCGCCTTGTTTACGTCGCTCTGCTACCGCTGCCAAAGCAGCACGGTCGAGACCGCCGCGGCGAGACTGAGCATAGGTGCAGGTCTCCTGGGTGTTAGTACATCGTGTGCATTGCGGTCGGCGGCCGTCACACTTGAGATGACGTGAGCGGCACGGTAGACAGGCCAGCGAGGAGCGCGAGGCCCTTCTCCCGGCCGCCTTGCCGGGGCGTGACTCGGTTGACATGTCTGCCGCCTCGACGTGTGTGCTGGGCTGCAGGCTAATTGATGGTGGTTGTGATGACGGGACCCGGGAAGGGAATTAGGTTGGAACGGGGGTGGGGTGACCGGGTCGAAGCTTGTGTTGCTTTGCGGATACCCGAAAAGTATATCTGCAGATCTGAGTACCCGAGTGCCCGAAACAAACGCCATCCTTCAACGACCTGGTGTGAGTGATTACGCAGAATCGTCGTGGGACCGAGGTATCGTCGCATTCCTCGTGACAACACGGTTATAGATGAATGGAGCGGACATTAGAAAAAGCCCATCAAGTTCCGAAAACTTGGAGGAGTAAAACTGCTTCACTGTGCGGACAGGTCCGCGTCAAACCTTTCTAGTCAAAGCCGGAATATCGCGTGCCTTGAAAGTGGCACATGACCAGAGGGCAATGGGGGCCCAATGCTATGAGGAGACGGCTGGCTGTACTGACCATGTCTGGCATTGGATGTGGTCGACTTTATTGCCGGATCATGGACATGTGCGAGATACTAGCCAAGGAAGCCTAAAGCACCCGACTTGAAAGCTCGGGGTTGAGCCATTCAACTCATGGGTATAGATCATTTGGGACCCTTCCAAGTCACAATGGGGGGACATCACCATTTACTCTTTGTTAGACTCTTCCACGTTTCACCTGGGCGATTCCAATACATGGCACGATAGCCATTGAGATACCCAGCATCGTGTCGACTTGGGTGAAGGAGGAGGGTACATCGGCGGTGGCCTTCCGCCTCGATGCAGCTTCAGCATTCACAACACCGCCGGAACGAGGCGCAACGGCAGAGGAGTATCTAAAGCAATTGATTCCGCCCTCCTGTTTGCGTACCCGTATCAAATCTAATTGGACGCATTGTCGCGAAAAGCCTTCGTATGTCCAGTCAAACCCCTGTATGTACAATCTACAGCAGATGTCCCTCCGCGTGGCCTATGCCGACTCTCTCCCCGACTCTTCGGTCTTGCTGCCCTCCTTGGAGGAGGTCGCGACGCTCTTCGACTCGGTGACGACGCCCTGCTCGGGCGATGCAGCGCCGCCCTTGGCCCGCCTGCTGCCGGCCATCTGCGGGAAGAAGATGCCGGGATGGAAGGCCGTCAGCAGCGACACGGCGACGAGGACGAGGGTGGCGTCGAGGATCATGAACGAGATTTCGTCCTGCATGATGTGGTTCTGGAGTATGTTAGCAGCGGACGAGAGATGCGGAACGCTACGTGTGGAGGGGATGCTTCATGCCCGAAAGCAGCAGACGCAGGGATAGAAAGGTACGTCTCCCCAACGCCAGGCATCTCGACAATCTGCACAAACATTAGCGCGCTGTTGCTTCTTCGAAATTGCATCCTCTCCGAACAAGGCAAAAAAACGGGAGCCACGAACCGGTAAACGCATCGAATGATGATGGCCGTGAACGCCCCCGCGATTGCCGCACACAAACTTTCCTGAACCTGCGTCCCGGTACACGGCGAGCGCGGCCTCGGTCGGGGGTGCCGGCGTCGGCGCGTCGCGCACCCAGCGGGCGCACGCGGACCCAGTAGTCGACGCCCATGATGCCGAAGAAGAGCAGCACGACGACCTGCAGCGCGACGCCCGAGATGATCATGCGGTTGCCGTGGCTCAGCAGGGTGGCGTTGGTGCGGCCGGCAGCGGCCGAGATGCCGCCGCCGATGGCCTGCAGGACGAGGCACGAGAGGTCGGCGGGCAGGAAGATCCAGGGGTAGAGGCGCGGGCGGATGCGGGACAGCGGCGGGCTCAGGGCGAGGGCGACGTGCTTGAGCGTCAGGTAGATGGCGACGCAGAGCATCGTCGGCGCCAGGATGATGGCGCAGATCTGCAGCTGGAAGGCGTCCGAGTTCCAGGGGTTGTCGTTGAGGAGGACGCGGCCCGGCGTAGCCTGTTGCTTCGTTGTTAGTGCTCCTGGTGCGTTCTGAGGAGAGACGTAGATGGGGAAGGAAAAAACAATACCAGCCGTCTCAAGGAGGGCGCCGCCCGTGACGGCAGCCATGTAGGCCCATGTCCGCTTCTTGATGCCGATGTAGCCAGAGACAATGGTGACGATGCCAAAGGCGACGGCGAAGAAGATGTTGGCGCCAAAGTTGGGGTAGTACCCCAGCACCGTGGCCTCGACGGGACAGTAGATGCTGATCTCGTTGCACTCGTCAAACGGCCGACGGATCGTTTCGTTGTGGGCGTCCGACATGGCGAGCAGCCAGGGTGGTCCGGTCCTTAGAAGATACAAGGTGATGGGACGAGAATGGTTGATCTGCCGCTGCGAGGAGATGCTAGAGCAAGCCACGTCCACGGCTAGCTCGGGATCAAGAAAACAAGCAAGCAATGCTGAGAAAGCGAGAGCGAGGAAAAGAGAGAAAAGACAAAAAAAAAAAAGGGGGTGTGTAGCAGATCAACGGTCTACAAAAGGACGAGGGCGCGCCCCTCAGGATGATATTGATGGCAGACAGTCAAATAGAGAACGGGACCGGGGAGACGGGCGGACACACAACATACAACAAGCTTCTTCTTCTCGTTCTTAGCAAGCACAAGCAACGCGGCGCCAAGACTGGCATCCCGGCCGCTCTAGAACCCGTTACAAGGCAAGCGGCTAATCGCAGTGCATGGCGCGCTCGCACTCGGCCTCTCGCATTCGAAAAAACGGACCCCGCAAGCGTGGGACGCACGTTGTGGTCCACGTCGCTTAAGGCTCAGACGCTCAAAGGGGCAAGTCGCGGGTCCGGGGGGGCGCGAGCGTTGAGTGGTGGAACGAGGCCGTAGGAGGAGGGGTCATGACGCTTGGCGGAGCAGGGCTGTGCATTGGTTCTGACGGGGTCCTGGAGATGAGGCCGCAGGTCACAGAGATGAAGCGAAGGTGGTCGAGGGTCGCGACGATCGGGCCGGCACCGTTGCAGGGTTCAAGCTCGAAATGTACGAGGTCGGCGATCGGCACAATGGACAAGCCGCCCGATTCGCCCGAGAAACATGGGGGGGGGGGGGCAACGTGAAATGGGAAAGGAATTCGTTGTTTGCAAAGTCTCTTCATGGTGTTCGCCAGGCCGTCTAAAGCGTTGTTGGCCCGAATGAAGGCGGGCATCGACGGGCTCAGTCCGGTCAACTCATGATGATTTGACGAGCCGGTCATTCTCCTCTTCACCCTCGCTAGACTCCTCGTATTCGTCTTCTCGTCGTCCTCCTCCCCTCGGACTCCTCCTCCTCCTCTTCATCACTATCCGTCTCGCGTCCTCTTCGTCATCGTCATCCTCGTCGGCTTCTTCCTCTGCAAGCCCAATCATCAAGTGATTTCGCCCCCACCGCTTTCGCCCTGCCCACCCTGCCCACCCTGCGCGCCCAGTTCATTCGAGCGGGCGGACGGCTGCGCTCGGCGCCGATCGCGCGGCGCTGTCGAGCCGCTGACTCGCCGGTACGACCCTGTCCTCGCCGTAGGCCGGCGCCGGCGCCTCCGTCTCGCGCAGTCGGGGGTCCGGCTCGTGGCCCTCGGCGACCCAGGGCGGCAGCGCTTCGTAGCCTCGCAGCCCGTGGACGCCTCCGCCGCCGGCCAGCACGAGTGTCGCTGAGCCGAGCAGGAAGCCCTTGCGCGTCTCGGACGGGCTCGGCGCCTGGGGGGCCGGCTTGGGGGCCAGGAGCATCAGCGTCGCCAGCTGCGGCACCGACAGGAGCGCGCGGTACATCCTGGCGCGGTCCCGGAGGTCGTAGGACGTGTCGTAGCGGACGAGGAGCAGCACGTAGTCCCACAGCTTGGCGACGACGTGCTCGTCCCGGTTGGGCTCGGGCGTCTCCGCCGTCTCGTCCTCGGCCTGGCGGTTGATGTGGTGCAGGTAGACCTTGGCGGCGAGCAGGAGAATCTGCCGCTTCGCTGCCTCCGACTCGCTGGCAAAGTCCTTGACGAGGATGCGCACGCACGTCGGCCGCGATGTTGTCCTCGCCGTTGATGCCG